ATGTAACACCCCCGGGGTCTTTTCTCTGTTAATCAAAAACATCAGAGCTGCTTTTGCAGCGGCGAGTTAGTGCCCGATTATCTGATTATTCTTTTTGAGTTCTTCACCAGCTGCAGTATGTTGTTACATTTGCCATTTTCTGTTTCCCTGCAGAGGACATTGAGGTGCGTTTCTTCCAAGACTCTTGGGAGGGGAAGGGCACTTTCTCCCAAGCTGATGTCCACAGGCAGGTGGCCATTGTGTTTCGCACTCCGCCCTACCGTGACACTAACCTCACTGAGCCAGTGAGAGTCAAGATGCAACTCCGGCGGCCCTCTGACCGAGAAGTCAGTGAGCCAATGGACTTCCAGTACCTGCCGTCAGATCCAGGTAAAATATATTATATGCAGAAAATGTGCTGAATATGTGCAACTTTTCTCAAATTTAACTTCTTTATCATTTCCACCCTGGCAGATGAATACAGGCTGAGTGAGAAGAGAAAGCGGACAGGAGATATGTTCCAGAACCTGAAGCTAGGGCCCTTGCTATCTAGTGGTAGGTTAATAAGAATTTTTTTTCTGTCAGCTGAGCATAGTATAATTGGATAATGGTTACACTGTTGTTAAGCACGGTATTATAAAGACGTCTTCTGACATTTCAGTGACCACTCCACAAGATAGACAGCACCTAAACCCATCAAGGAGAAAGCTGACAGCCAAGCCTCAATTACTGAACCCACAAGCTGGTGAGTCTGTTGCAGATGTTCCTTCCTTATTTGAACTCATTTGAAGACATTTTACTTTACTTCCTGATATCTTTTACACCAACTAACAAATGGATTCATTCAAAAATTGTCATTTCTGGCAAATGTAATTTGATGATAGTTAATGTCCGCTTATAATAAGTAATACTCTAAATAATAAAACAGTAATTTAGATTGGTGTTAGTTTCAATCTCCTCGTCTTCCTGTCTTAAAGCAGTTGAGTCATTAGCGGTGAACTTTGTGTATGTGAAATATGTGATAAGGATTTTCTGCAGTGAGTTCTCAAATCACTTGCTTGTGTTTGCAGCAGCTGTGGTGCCCACTGGTCCCACTGGGGCAAAATCACATCCCCAATACCCCTTCCAACCAGGCCAGCTATTTTCTGAGCAGACAAAAGTAGAAGCCTCCAACATGTCAGCAGCTCCTACCAACCAGTGGAAGATGACAGCCCTGGGCTCCCAACCAAAAGCAAACCCAGTGTCTAGCTTTTCAATGAACCCATCACCGGCCACCTCTACCATCACTTCCACTTCCAATCAGGACTACTCAACGGTCAACCTGTCAGATCTTCATGAATTCTTCCCCAACATTTCCTCGACTATCACCCAGCAGGAGCCCTCAGCTTCTCAAGTAAACTTGGCCTCTTCACAGACAAGCAACTCCTTCGCCCTCCAGAGCACTCAGTTCCGGGGAGAGCCACCACTTGTTGATGACGATATCCCAGATTTCCCTAGCTTCACTGAAGGCCAGGTCCCAGTCAACCTGGACAGCCTCAACATGGATGACTTGGAGGATCTTCTGAACCCCCAAATCGTAAATCATCCTTCATGTCAGCCGACTGGCCCTTCGGGCTCCTCTACCGCTGCCCAGACTAGTGCAGCATCTCAGAACACTTCTGACCCTGCCAGCAACCCAGGAAGCACTTGGATGAATTACCCCAACAGCATTGTGCATCTGCTCCAGAACGAAATCATGACAGACAGCAGACCCAATAACAACCAAATGCTCGAAGACTTCGATGAGTTGATGTCTGCTGATGAGGACCGTCTTATTTCCATTTTTAACAGTGGAAGCCAAGCTGGGTTTGTGTCAGGACACCCGACTTAAAGTTTCTTTCATTTTTCCAAAGACCAATTGTATCTTCCCCTGTGGCCATCAGGACTAAAACTTCTTTATTATTGTAAGGCAAAAAAGGAAGTAGGCAGAGGAGACCGAATGTAGCAGCACTGCTCACTGTGGACACACTTCTTAAAATACCAGCAATGACTTTATGGTATTCAGTCTGACGCCTTGCCCAGTCATATAGTTTGTCTGATAAATTACAAAACCCATAATGTAGGTGATCAGATTTCATGCCCTGTGAAACCCATGTCCAGCATCTGTGACTAAACGTTTAGGTCACTGTCAACATATTGATGGTGGAGACAGATTCTCCAGCGAATGTTTTACGAAGACAGACAGCATGGGTACTTTGATAAAGGTATCCGGTGTGGTGATTATTTTTGGAACATGTTAAGCATGTTTTTGTACTGTCATTTGAACAATTTTGGTAGCTGTGGCCACAAAAATGTGCAGCTTTTGTCTCTTTTTTTGTCTTTATACAAAAGGGTTCATATATATGTAATCAGATCTAGAGGTAAGTCTACACAGATTATGTCCGTTTTTAAAAAAAAATTATCTCTTTGGATTGCACCATTGTTTTCTGAAGGTTAACACAAACTATCTGAATGTCTTGGAAACAAAATGAAGGTGTACATTTATCAAACAAGCAACATTACTATATATGTGCTTATACTAGAGATTGTGCTTTTTGTGGTAATAGTTTCCACTGCTCTGTAATCAGTTTTTCTACACTTATTTTATCAGTAATGGTTGCATTTTAACTCAGCTGTTTCAGACTTGCTATACTCTGCAGTAAGGTGCTTTACTGAAATGTAATTATGTTTTTACGTGTATTATGAAAGTGGATCGTAGTATAATTGTGCTTTTTTTTTTTTGGAATGAGACTTTGTCAACATACAAAACACTGTTTTGGCAATAAATACCACAACATATAAAGACGATTTTCAAAAGAGTATTTTACTTTGCAACTCTGTAACTGTTATACAGTACAAAGGGGGGGAAAAAAAGGCGAACGCAAGAGACAAATGTAAAATGGCAACAAGGAGTACTTCAGTGGATCTTCTGAAAATGTGCATACAAATCAAGGATGTTAGTCTTCTTCCCGGCACTCGAGCCTGTTAGAATCTTGTTAGTACTACTATTCTTGTATACAATATTTTCAATACAAAATAAAAAAAATCTGAAAGTGTTTCAGGTCATTCAGAAAATTTTACAACACAAAAAGAAGAGACAAATTTAGTGTTTTGGATTTTTTTTTTCTAGAAAAAAAAAAAGGATGAATTTGTGATCGGAGTTCAACCAATGATGTTCTAAATAGTTGCAGTCAGAGGACTGTACTGTCCAACCCATCTCCTGGGATCATCACGCACCTCTTCACATACTGTTACAGCAAAACTCCTCTCTTGGTCTGAGTGGCTTATGTTACCTCAAGATTGGTAACTTTGTTGATGACGTGGGAACGCCTGGGCACACACTCCAGGTCGAACTTGCTCTCGTATATGGTGGGGCAAACATTCCAGCGGTTGTTCCGATAGATTCCCAGGTATGTATACACATCTGGCTTGTACGAGAGAGGGCATTTGACCCCTGTGGCACGAATGACCGAATCCAGCCTCATGACCTCATTCTCATCAGTGAAGTTCTGGTTATAGGCACAAATGACCTGCTTGCCCTCTGCCTTGCGGTCAAATGGGCTGACTTTAACGAGTGAGATCTTGCCATCTAGGGCTGCTCTTGCCACACATTCCCAAGCGTGGTCCAACTTGAAACCAGTGTCCAAGTGCATAAGCCACTTGCCTGAGAGTACTCTATGGTTCAGGGCCAGCTCCCTCACTGTCTGGAAGGTGACGGGCCGGGAACTCGCCAAAAGTTTCTCCCAACTCTCCTGGAGTCCTGTGACATCCGCACCACTGGGGCAGTGGTTTGGGCCCACCACAGCAATCCACCCCACAGGGCTGACACCACCCTCCTCGTCTCCAAATCTGGACACTTGGGAGGGCCTGTTACTCTCCAACCAGCCATCAAACTCGGATCTGGGAGTTCTTCTAGAGTCAAAAACAATCCAGGGGTCCATGTCTGCAGCCATGGCTTCAGCAGCATAGGTCTCTGCAGCAAAGGGGGTCCTCATCTCGCCATCAACAGGGCTCTCTTCTTCCTCCATAATGGTATAGCAGTTACACGAGTAAACAAGTTCTGAAGCCTGCCTGTTGAGTTGAAGAATGCAGTTATTATTTGAATAAAAAACCACTGGTTTAGCCTCTGTGTTAGCTTACAACCCTTTTGCTGTTATTTATTAGCTTACAACCCTGCCTAACTTCGACAGAAGTGGACAACTGAATTGCTTATGAATGCTACTAGCTAGCCTGCTACAACAGCGAAAGTTAGCGTATCTCTACCACTGATTCAGTTTCACACGAAAGTTACTATCGACCCCAGCGTACCGCCTACAGCTGACATGTCAAAGAACACGCAGAACAGCTTTCTGACTGCTTTAGCATTGTTGTAGCTAGCCGACAAGCTAGTCGTCTTTATAAATGTACACACTCGTCCTGGCTAGCCATTTCTAGCCAGCTGTTGAATACAACTGACTCTTTAACATTCACAGTTTTCCCATTCAAAACGTAAATAATCGCACGCCGATGTTAAACTTTGAACATAAAGGCTTACTCTAGCCGTAGATGTCGAAGTTTGTTGTTCAGTGTTGATCTTCCGCATAAGCGCAGCAGCTCCTCTGTATCTAAGAGCCAAAACCCATTCAGGTGGCTGGCAGTTTAACTAATAATTATTTATACATCAATTAAATTACGTACCTCGTCCACAAATTCGACCGTATGTAACAATATAAATATATGATATAAATATATATTTTTTACGTTTTGCTATAACATAATTTTAAACATAAGTTATGCTGTACTAGATTCAGCGACTTTTAAAAAACTTGCATGTTCCTCGGTATGTGTACAAGTCAAATATGTAAGTTTCCCACATTTGTATTTTGTTAAGCTTTAAAAATAAACATGTTCCATTACTATGGTTAAATAAAAGTATTTCTTTTCTTTGCATTTGCGGAACGACAAGCGCTCCAACCTGACGGCACGGAGACCCTGCGGAAACAAACTGACCGCACCGAGGAACGAGTGACGAAGACGATGTGCTAACTAGTTAGCCGGATAGCCACCACTATCTGGTGTGCGCGCGGTGGAGGCGAATTTCTGTATGAAATAGAATACGAATATAGCATATATTGTATTTTATTTTAGTTTAGCCACCCAGGTAATTTAATTATGCCCAGCAAAAAGAAGAAATACAACGCCAGATTTCCTCCGGTAAGTTTAAACTGTGCTGAGCCGGTGTCAAAGCAAGCTAACGTTAGCAAAGTGTAACATGGAAAGCTAAGTTCTGTAACTAGCTTAAGTGGAATTCGGCTTCTTTTGTTGCTTAGAGAGCATACAAGCCATCTAACACTCCCAAACCATTTAGTATACAAAGCACGTGCCTTAGTGAAAAGTAGTTGATGTCATGAAATTAGTGACCAAACATCCCCTGTATGTCATTAGTTGGTGGTGTACACACATAGCAGGCGTGCTATTTAAGTTGGTCTACTAATTGACGTTGTTTTTAGCATCTCAAGCTAGGCTAAACGGCACGTAAATAAATGTGAATAAATCCATTCTTTATTGTAATAAGCTGGATAATGTATCTACAATCCTCACACTACGTGAGTAGTGTAATAGTAATGATTGCAGTTACTTTGTGGGGACCTCACGTTATTCTATGTGCTGTACTGCAAACTCTTTACTAGGTTGTCCCCGAATTTCATCGCGTTTTCACTGAAAATGTTTGTTGTTGTTTTTTAAGAAAATGAAAATTTGAAGCGTTGCTGTAGACACATGCATAAAAATAGACCTTTTCTCATTTCAGGCAAGGATTAAGAAGATTATGCAGACAGATGAAGAAATAGGCAAAGTGGCTGCAGCAGTGCCTGTTATTATATGTATCCTTCCTGCCTGCAGTCGTCACTGTGCAAGTTCTGTCTTGAATTATAAATTGTAAAAGACTGTTTAATAATTAGAGAAAAATGCTTCCTTAGTCTGTTGTGTTGTTGTGTCAAGTTGTCTATTATTGCATGTTTGGTAGTTTGATGATTTAAAGTACAAACACACCACTGCTTCACTGTACTTCCCTTATCCAAGATATCAGCAAGAGCACTGGAGCTTTTTTTGGAGTCCTTGCTTACAAAGGCTTGTCAAGTCACCCAATCTAGGAATGCAAAGACAATGACAACGGCACATCTGTAAGTTCTGTGTTTGTCTTCATTCAGAGCCCTGTCTGTGTTGCACTGTGTTGGAGATGAACGTCTTAGGAAGGCAAAGCCATCTGCTGTTCAGATCACTGGTATATTATATAGTATTTGTTTTTAATGAGTGTAGCTGAAATGCTGTCAGGCCTTTATTTTGTTTATTTTTAAAGTGGACTCATGATGAACTTCCAGCTCGATAATTTCATTCTTGGACTTTACTAAAGTAGCTTTGCTTGATTCACATTTAAAAATAACGACTATTCGTAATATACACAACATACTTCTTTTAAGTCAGTTTTCTTCTGATTGGTTTTAACAGTACATTTAACAGTTCTTTCATCTCATTTAATCAAATTTCACAAAATGGGAATTGTGCAAAATTTCAGGACTTCAGTCATTAGTTTACTCAAAAAATAATCCTCAGTGAAATGTTGAAAATAGGAGTGTTTTTGAATAATTCCCTAGCATAATTTTGTTTTTACATGACAACATGTACCAAATCCAAATTGACTTTTTAAGTAATGATTGTGATGGTTTTCTTTCTCATCTTCCTAAGAAAAATTTGCCTAAAACACTTTAAAGTAGATAATGTCATTTTAAAGTAGCCCCTCAAAAATGATGTTGGAAAATGTCTAAAAACAGCCCTGCCATCATCCTTTGAAATATTTTTGAGAAAGCTAATGACAGCCGGAACCTCAAATTTTCCACGATTCCTATTTAGGATGTGTATCCTCCACCTGGAATGTTTTTTCAGGTAAGATGGTGAGGTGGGAAAGCATTTGATGAACTGACAAGGACTAACCCTACACATTGCAAAAAGATAAATAAGTAAGGAAAATCATTATGAGCCGTCTTTACAAAAAAATGGCATCCTGTTACACAGCATGATTTACTGTGTGGTGGGAGCCTGATAGTTCTGTGGAGCACATTTGCAGTACACTGCTGAATCCCTTGTATCTGAAAGTATTTCTGGCCTGAGTAAGACAGCCCGCCAAAACAATTTTTCCCTGTGACTCAGACTGTATGTGTTGCTAAAATGAGTATGTACTACCATTAAGCTTGCTGTCTTTTTGATACGAGCTTATATTTCACTTGGCAAGTAAGGCTGAGGAGAAAACTGTTCATATTTATTCACAGAAAGCAGTGCATTGAGCTGGAGCAGCAGTTTGATTTTTTAAAAGACCTGGTTGCGGCGGTGCCAGACATGCAGGGAGAGGGGGAAGAGAACCACACCGAGGGGGGAGGAGAGAAAGTCCCACGGAGGTAACATTCGCTCACACAGACACCCAAACACGTAGAGAAAGAGTCATGATGCTTTGAAATGGAAGGAGTATTTCACATACACGATCAAAACACTCCAGGGTGATATGAGGCAGCCAATCCAGCTGCAGATAATTTGGACTTATTTCATTAAGCAGTTTGTAATTCAGTCAGCTCTGATAAGTGCACACACACATCTGTTTAAACTAAAAAGGATTCGCTCCACGAACAGACAGAATCTGTGTACGTTATCTTTTCTTCTTCTGGAAATGAGCACTGCTGTAAATTGGTCTATAATCCTTGCAGTGTTACCGTACTCCCGTGTTCCTTTAGTTTTGTGATTCTAGATTATCAGAAGAAAATGAAAGAACTGGCCAGAGCGAAAATTAATTGTTGAGGAATTGTAGACAAGAAAATGCAGTATTGACTGTCAGATCAGACGCCGGCACCGCAGCTAATTTGTAGCAGAGAGCTTGGCGGGGAATTAGACGTTTCTTTTCTCTGCAGACTTCTTTTCTCTGCAGACTGCGGCTGATTGGATTCATATTCAATTCAAAGTGGTCGTAAAACTTGTAATGTTTAGACATTTGGTGTCAGCAAGTGCCTCAGAGTAATTTCCACCAGCAGTATGCGTCACACTGTTCTACTCTGGAGTTATCTTAAAGTTGCAAGGAGAGAATTTCTGCTTTAAAAAAAGCCACATTAGCTACTATGTTTTTCATTTAAAACATTTTTGTGCACTAAGTTAAACAATTGATTTCTGGTTCCCTCGTCCACAGTAGCCCAAGTGTACGTTCTGTTTCATGTGTTGTCTCGTAAACATTCTTTTGAAACTTTAAAGTAGGACCTGTTATCACATTTCCTTACACGGTTATCTTTTTTCTTCCTCAGAGGTCGAAAACCAGGGTCTGGTCGCAAAAACGGAGGTGCTGGCGCCAAAGGCAAGGACAAGAAGTTATCTGGAACAGAGTCGGAGCAGGAGGTGTGAGATGATTTGCATGTAGAGGCCTGAACCTGTCTACTGTGTTTGTCTGTATGAGGGGAGACGACTCACTGTTGTCTTCCTTGTGATGGAAACAGGACGACAGTGAAGACAGCGAGACAGACGGGGACGACGAGGACGGCTCTCAGTCTAGCACACATCTGCAGGCTCCATCCAGGTTCCACAGGTTTGTGTCCAGATCCACATGAGACGGTGTGTCTGGAAATATCCTCCCAGACTGCAGACTCGGAGAGAGGGAGGGCGTGTTTTCTTTTAAGCTCTTGCACTGCTCTTCCCTCTGAAAAACAGACTCTCTGATACAAAGATGTAAAATGATTTACAGCATATGACAAAGGAGATAGACGCCTAGAAAATGGCATAGAATTCATGAGAACTGCTGAATCATTATAAACAACCCACACACATTTGAGCCATTCAAACACTACATGATGCCCACAAGAGGGCAAACCAATACAGCAAAAGATGCAAGTAGTTACTTAGGCACATTTAGTCCAACATAAACATGTTTACATACCTACACATTACAGAATAAACTAAACAAGTTGGGTCTGGCACCCTGAGTGAGCTCTGCTTTGGAACAACATGGAGTGGTGTGGACTGGCATTTATACAGCACATCTCTGGTTTTCAGTATTCTGAGTATTCAAACCTCTTCACACTACTGTCCCCATTTATTCTGTACTAGCACACTTTCAGCAATTTATCTACACACGTGCTGTGAGACATCACAGCTGGCAGACTTAGCACTTTAACTTGATTCTTATATCAACTGATAAAAACAGAAGACTCGTCTAAACATGGAACAACAATTCAAAAATTCCATCGATATGAATTTGGGAAATGATTAGCAGGGACCTGACGTGTATGAGGCTTTTCCCACTAGCCAAATCACGAGACTTGTGCTTCAACCATTCACTCGGTGCAGTTAGGGTTACACTGTTCTGCAGTCTGCTGATTACAGAGCTTGAAGAGCAAATCGCTCTTTGTGATGCTGAGTTTACTTGAGAACTGAGATTATGATATTGAAAATGGTAATAAAAACAGTAAATAACCATATAGCATACTTGAAAAAGTAACCAAGAATGTAGGAAATGTGTTTTATTTCAGTCTTTATTAATTTGGTCAAATTTGCCAGCACAGAATAAAATTAAGAGGCTTGTGGAGTCTGAGATGTCTGCAGTTCAAAGTGTTTTCTATTGCTGTATTCCATTATTGCACTGTTACAAGCAGATATAATAATATTCGAAACCCAATGTGACCTCCCCTCATATACAACTCTACACTCACATGCCAGTTTGTTAGGTATAAATGACTGGGTTGGGCCCCGTTTTTCCTTCAGATCAGTCTAAATGCTTTGTGGCATAGATTCATCAAAATGCTGGAAGCATTCTTAAGATTTTAGTCCAAACTGACATCAAAGAATGATACCGACTTTGCAGATTTGGCTCTATATCTGTGATCTTCCATTCCCCCACATCCACTGGCGGTGACTGTAGAGGCCATTTGAGTACACTGGACTCATTGTCATGTTCAAGAATCCAGTTTGAGATGATTTGAGCTTTGTGACATGCTGCGTTGTTCTGCTGGAAGCAGCCATCAGAAATGGGTACGCTGTGACCATAAAGGGATGGACATGCTTAGTGACAATACTCTAGTAATGACGCTCAGTTGGTACTAAGGAGCACAAAGTGTACCAATATAATACCCATGCACCCATACAACAATGGCACCAGAACGAACTTCTGATCCAAGGCAGGATGCTTTCATGTTTACACCAAATTCTGACTCTGCCATCCAAATATCACAGCAGAAATCAAGACTGATCAGACTGGGGAACGTTTTTCCATTTGTATTGTACAATTTTGTTGAGGCTGTGTGAAGTGTAGCCTCAGTTTCCTCTTTCTAGCTGACAGCACCTGGTGTGGTCTTCTGCTGGAGCCCATCTGCTTCAAGGTTCGATGTGTTGTGCATTCAGAGATGTCCGCTCAAATAACGAGTGGTTATTTGAGCTCTTGTTGCTTCTTATCAGCTCAAAGCAGTCTGCCCATTATTCTCTGGACAAGACATTTTTGTCCAGTGAACTGCCTGCAAACTGGACAGCTTCTAATTTTGGACTGTTCTCTAAACTCGGAGAGAATTGTGCAGGAAAAGCCCAGTAGATCAGCAGCTTCTCAAAATACTCAGAGAACTCCGTCTGGCACCAGGCTAGGTTCTTCACTTGACTGGGATGGCATTTTAAGACTTGTCTGAAGAAGCACTAATTGGTCAGTAATTACATCAGCGGCAAATCGAGTTCAAAGCTGTCTGATCTCTTAAGAAATAAACACTCAATTTACTTTGCATAATCTTTCAGCTGCTGCTCTGTTTTCGTTGTGCCTCCCATGAAGGTGCTGCCATTTTTACTTTTCATTTGTAAGAAAATCTCCAGACAAGCAAAGTTTTTTTTCTCTCAAAAAGTTATATTGCCTCACATTAAGAGCACATAAAGGCATATTTATATATGACTATTACTGTAGCTTGTTAAGAGAGAGAAATCTGGTGGCTGAAATTATGCCAAAAACAGGAAGAGGGCGCTGTTTTCCTACTAGAATCGATAGACAAACCTTTGCTGGCCCCAAGTTGAATAAGTTGTACCTGGAGTTCCCTGTAAATATCAAGATTCATTTTGGATACTTAACTCTAAAATAGTCCATTATTTTTTTAGTGCACAGTTAATTTGACTAATAATGTTTCAATTTAAAAGGTAGTTTGTGCATAAAATGCACACGACTCCTCAGAGGTTAACACCTGTTCCTGTGCCCCCACAGCTCCAACACCCCCCCTCAGTATATGCACATGGCCAACATGGTCCCAATGGGCAACATGGCTCCGACGCAACCTCCGGGCACCGTGGCCTTCGCCCCACACGCCTCCATGATGAGCATGGCACCACCTCCCACAGTCCCTGCACCGCACAAGAACGGGGACGACGATGACGACGACGAAGACTATGACTCTTAGCTCGTTCTCAGCACTCCGCTCACACACTCTCTCATTCTCTTCTACCACACACACACACACACACACACACACACACAGTCAATGTTATTTTTCAAATTCTTAAGTTGTTTTTCTGGCAGCTGCTGTAAGCAGAGGAGAGAGAGACTCTTCATTGCAGCCTGCTGACCAAAACGCCCTTGGCGGCCAGCTATAAGAGCCACCACCACCGCGAGAGACACAAAGCCTGTACATTATGTGTTTTAATTTTCTTTTTCTTCTTCTTTTTTTATAAAGAAACTTTTATTTTATTGTAGAGAAGAATCCAACGAGGATCTTTTTTAACAAGTCAGTCGCTCGATTTTTGACTAGGAAAAATGGTGGTCGTCACCGTTTTTGCAGGCACAACAAGCTTGGGCCTCGCAGCTTTTTCTTTTCTTTCTCTTTTCTTTTGGGAACTTTTTTTTTCCCTCAGTTTCCTGTTGTAGACCTGAACATATCAGTCGTCGTCACTCAGTTCCTCAGGTTGGCTGAAAGAATCCGTACATAGTAGTTGTTGAAGCTTTCTTTCAAGGCAACAGCACAGTATTTGGAAGATGATCATCGAGAAGGTTGGTGTCTCGCTGCTGAAGTGTTATGACTATGTTATAGATTGGCTGTGATATACAGCTTTTAAGCTCTGAGCTCTACTTCCCGGCTTTGTCACAACTCGCAGCCCAATTGTCCGGCTGTAACATAAATAAGGAAGCAGGTGTATTTTTTACTATACATTAGCTAGCTACACCTCTTTTTTTTTTCTCCCCCCCCCCCCCTTCAATGAGTTTCTATTTTTAAGTCACGTTTTTATCAAGAGAACTGTAAACCTTCACAGCTCTGAAGTCAATCATATCAGCAGGTTAATGAGTTAATTATTTGTTGTTCATGACCCTGGCAGAGGTCTGTTACTTTGGCAATTGGATCTTGTTATTATTATTATTATTACTTTACTCGACCATTTAATACCCTTAAATTGCCCATCTGAAGTATACTGTGACTCTTGGACCATATGTTTGTTTTTAAAAGCTTTTTTCCCCCCCCTTCTATTGTCCTCTCTCATTTCTGTTCTGGCCTCTCCTCCAATTTTGAGTAACTTGCTCCTTTATCCTGACTGTTTTCCTCCCCTTTTTAGATTCTTTTAAATGTGTTGATTGGAAGCAGAGTTGGGGCGCCCGTTTATGTGTCAGTCTCCGTATGAAATGGTTGCAAACAGACAGTTGGCACTGTATTGTAAACTTTTAACATTCTTTTTATTTTGTATGTAAAATAAAGTTCATATTTCAATTAAAATGGTCCTTGTATTGGTTTGATTTCTGCATTGGAATTGAGAGCTTGAAGGTACCTTCCATATTCAATATCGTCTTAAAGGCAAAACCAAAGTACACTTACTAATATTTCAAAAGCCCTCCACTGAAATTTTTTTTACCTTCGTGGGCGTGGAGTACATCCTTTGTAGTTCCAAATCCTTGCACTTTGGAATTCTCTGCATTTTCTATTGTGCAGTTTACCTTGGATGCTGTGCATCTGCCAACCGGTGACTCAAGCAGCCTGAAAGACGCAGCTTTGCAGTCTCCTTCTGGTATTTAATCAGATAAAAGTGCAAGACAGTACAGGTTTGTGGAAAAGTGAGAGATGTGATTGTTATCATGGGCTTGCGTTGTGTTCAGAGTAGCTGGCACACTTGGCCCTGACTGTTCATCCAGCCCCCTTTCCTCTTCCTCCTGCCTCTATTTGTTTGTTTTTTTTTAAACAGTCCCCTTTGTCGTGTAAATGCAGCCGCCTCTCTTACCCCCACCTCCAAACACAGCCGACCAAGCAGTGCAGAGCCGGGACCACGAAAACAACTGCATCCTTCCTGCACAAGCGTTGACTCAGCGCACTGTGAGGAGGGAGGGGTTTTGCTCAGTGTGTGTGTATGTGGGGTAAAGAGGGAGGAAGGTGGGATGGGGTGTCAGTAGTTGACTTTAGGAGGTTGGTGTTCAAACAAACGGCAGCCGTGGTGCAGGGAAGGAGGGAGGGGAGGGGAGCCATCAAAGGGCTAACAGAAGGAAGCGTGCTGTTTCCACACAGGAGCCGGCGGGGACAGAGGTGACCCTCTGATTCCCGTCACCTCCTGAGAAGCCACTGACTTACAAACATGGGAAAATATGACCAAGAGGAATTCCCTGACCTTTTCCAAGATAAAGTCTTTTTGTTTTTATGGATAGAATGCACCTTCATCAGTGGGAACACCAGCAGTCAATTACTAAAATATGCTCCAGTCTTTACTGAAGGCTATTTTTAAATAACTCTTAAACATTAGGTGACTACACCACCATGGTGGGCACCCTGTGTGGGTGTTTTCGTCATGTTAAAAAACACGGTTGGGTACGTAGATGGACCAGTCAATCATGAGCTTCATAACTTTATTCTTTTCACCACAACAGATGGATGGTTGTGGATGCCGCCCTCCCACCCTGCTTACTGACACTTAAAATTCCTCTACTTGGGGCAGTAACAAGTCCTCGACCCAGAGTGACTGAAAGCCTTGACCCAAGACTCAGGGGTGCTAATTCTCATTCACGTGCTGCTGTAAACTGTCCAGCACAAACTGGAGTTCATGGTTTGCTGAAGCCAAGAGATCCACATCAGCAGCAGCAGAAACAAGATCCTGAGACCACTGAACCTGACACCTTCCTCTTCTGCCGTTTCTCATGAACACTAGAAATTTTGTCCATAGAAATTATGAACACAATCGGTGACAAAGGACAGCCTGGGAAAGTCCGACACCCAAGAATGGTCTGACTTATTTTCAGCAATGCAAAAAACCTTTCACTGTATACCACCCATAGGACACATGCTGACAGCAGACTGCCACACACATCCTTGAAAAAATATCTGGTACAGTGTTCAGTGACCTAGTACTACACTACATAATGTTCCATGTAATATTGAATTAAATTATAAAATATATTTTAAAAAAATCAAAATCAAAAATGTTATGTTAAAGAAAGCCAAATTATGAAATGCTATATTTAAGTAGTTCTCACAATTTGAACTTTTCACTGCATAAATCATAATCTTTATTTGGCACTAATGGACTTCCATTGGCTCATCGCCAGGATTACCAAAAATTCTACCATACTGATAACTATACTGCAGCATTTATGAGTTTATTTTTCCCCAGGTGGTTTCAAAATAAAAATCAGATTAAACTGTCCCGTAAGATCAAGACAACATCTGCGGTTAAAAGATGTGTCTCTTCTACCAAGTATCTCAGAATCACATCATTAAATGACTATTATTGTCATTTCGTCAAACCTCATTTTAATGGGACTAGATTAAAAAAAATGTATGCGAAGGCAAAAACTTCCTCTTTGTTGTTGTTTTCTAAGTAGCTGCTTAATTTGGTGAAGTTAGCTAACAAGACGTTAGCTAATACCGGAACTGCGGAAGTCTTTTAAAATAAAAGTATCAGAACTACAAACTATATGTTTTTAAAGGAGGCCACAAACCACTTTAACTTTATTCTTTTACCTTTACTCACATGTCATAATAACCATTTCTTATCTCAGGTTACTGCTGCAAAATAGTATCCCGTTCAGACATGGGTACTTTTATTAGGTATATAATATAGACTGACTTGATTGGGGTGATACTTGAAATTACATTACACGGGGCTTCGTACAGGGTTTTCATTGCACTGGAAAGCAAGATTATTAACAACAACAATAATAATAGTAGTAGTAGTAGTAGTTCTAGTAACAGTAAATGTAGATATAAGTTAGTATTATAGCGTATTGTGCTGCATAGCTGGGCAGCTAAACACTTCTAACTTCTAAGTAACTAAGTTATAGAGCAACCACGTAAAGGCGCCCACAAGTTTTATTCTGAAAGTTTCAAGAGAACGCGTTACGCCGCTTCCCGTAACTTGACGACGCTCTGTCATCTGACTCTTTTCCTGTTGGGAGAGAAAAAAAGTTTTGAAACCCCACCCTCTCCACTGACCGTAAGCGCAGACGTAGAAGTGGTTCGACAACCTGGCGAGTGAACTCTGCGTGAGGAAGACAAGTGTGATATGAAGTTATGATGGAGTTGTTCCGCTCTTTGGATACCGACTGTAAGAACGGGGGACTCGAGCCGGACCAGGCCACGCGCTGAACTCCCACCAGGAACTAACGGGATTTGTTTTTACTGCGTTTCTCTGAGGAAAGTAGAGCCGAGCAGGTTTGGAGAGCTCTTCCTGTTACAAAGTCGGCGGTCCCCAAGTTTGCTTTATGTTATGGTAAAGGCTGGCTATTCGTGTGCTTCCCATAAGACCGTGAGCATGGATACTTTGGCGCAATGGGATGCGGGATTTCCTGCGGAAGTGCCGCAAAGTTGCGGTGAGACGCCGTTATTGGAGTTTTGGGCTTAATGCGAACTGGACAGCTCTGAAACTTGTCGTAAAACACTGGTTGGCTGGACTGAATGCTCCTTTCCTGCTATTCTTCTCCGCTTTTCAGCGCTTCCTGCTTGTGGTGGCCACTGCACTTAATGGCTAAAAATACATAAAAACTCAAAATGGACAGTTAAGTGTGGTGGGAACCTTTATTACCAGTTGCAATAGCAGTACCTGGGAGTGTTTCGCAGTAAGCGGAGTAGTTTTCATTTGTCTTCTTACACTTTCCCTCTCTAAAAAAAACAAAACAAAGTCAGGACTCAACAGGTGACAGTTTTGAATGAGGGGGAAGAAGAGCTAAATTAGCCATAATGAGGTGATTCGAGAGGCCCTTAAATACAGGCCGGTGAAATGATATTGTGCTTAAACCATGTGTTGGGAAACCACACACCACATCACTTGAACAGAGAGAATTTCAGTGGAAGCAGTGCTGTCTTTCTGAGCTTTGAAACACTTAGCCTTAATCAAACAAAAGCAATCTCTAGTGAATCATCCGATGGAGAGACGAGTTTAATGCGATGATGAATAAAAGACACTTGCGCTTCTGTTGTCTTTGACTGCTCTCCTCTAGCCCACTTGTTGGTCCAACTTTTGAACACATTTCATTAGTCCCTGATGAGCCAACAAGAAAGACAGGAAAGGGAGCGAGGCGCAATAAAGTACTCCTTTGTACTTTATTTTCAAACCCTTGGGGTGCTAAATCCTATCCAGTCAAAACATCTGCTTGAGGCTCCATGGAGCCACTGAAGAATATATTCAGCCGTGGCCCGCTGTCCAACTGGAAAAATTTGGAACAATCGCAAAAAGGGAACTTCACCAACCCTGTGTGGACAGCCTTATTTGACTATGAGGCATCCTGTAAAGATGAGCTCACCTTACGTAAAGGCGATCTGGTGGAAGTCCTCTCTCTGGACTCGGAGATATCAGGGGATGAGGGCTGGTGGGCGGGAAAGGTCAACAACAAGGTGGGTATCTTCCCATCCAACTACGGCTCCTTCAAGCCGAGTGGATATGGAAAACTTCCGGGCAGTGCCGTGGTGGATGAGCTCGCTCCGGCTGTGGTGGGTGAGTTTGAACCTGAAGAGGTAGATTTCCGGGAGTTGAGCCTGGAGGAGGTCATTGGGGTCGGGGGATTTGGAAAAGTGTATCGTGGTACATGGAGAGGAGAGCTGGTGGCGGTGAAGGCCGCCCGCCAAGACCCGGACGAGGACATCAGTGTGACAGCGCAGAACGTGAGGCAGGAGGCCCGTCTGTTCTCCATGCTCACCCACCCCAACATCATCGCCCTGCAGGGCGTGTGCCTGCAGGAGCCCAACCTGTGCCTCATCATGGAGTATGCCTCAGGTGGGCCGCTGAGCCGTGCTCTGGCAGGCCGTCGAATACCGCCGCACGTCCTGGTCAACTGGGCTGTGCAGATAGCCAGAGGGATGTTGTATCTGCACAGTGAAGCCATCGTCCCTGTCATCCACCGGGATCTCAAGTCCAACAACAGTAAGTCCTTCAAGCCCGCAGCGCAGATCAGCATAGCTTCAGTCTGTCTGTTGGGGTTAGTTCAACGAAATCAAAGGTTTGGATATAATTACAGGGCTTTCTACTTAGGAAAGCCTCATGGCTCTAATGAACATGGCTGTACTGTAAAGCTCCTAAAGGAATCTCTCAGTGTTTACAAAGCCTTTCTAGAACAAAGAGGGCCTTTTAAGCTATCATTCACATTGCCAGATTAGTCCGTCTCTCATTCTGATTCTGTATCATTATTGATAAGAAGATCAGATTTATCTAGGCTTCATGTGACTCCTGGGCTATATAAGGTAGGCCAGACCTATAGGCGGCTGATGCATACCAGGAAAAACTAACATAAAGTGTCTTAGGGTAATGCAGGGCCAGTGTGTGCCAAACCAGTCTGCAGCGCTCCACTGAATGGATTGAACACACCACTCTTCCAAAACATTCTCCGGGGCGCTCTCATTACATCTTTGTATTGATTTGTGGGGGATGTGCACCCGAACCTTGCCAGCAAAATTCCCTCACAGGATAACTCCTGGTCCCTTCACTGCATGGGTCAATTTACTTTTGTTTGTCATCTTTGTGTGCCTGCTTGTGTGTGTTTGCATACTGCTCATAGGACAAGAATACCAAGTTTTTCCAGTGAAAGAATGCAGTGGACGAGTTTTACTTCTCGGCACCGTTATATTTCACACTTTGGACTTTAATGCTGTCCTCTTCTTGCATCAAAGGTCTTGCGTCAGTGTTTTCGGGGCCTCGTGGCAGACACGTAGGGGTTGGACCTTGTAATTAAAGCAACAATGCAGGGAGATGTATCACTGATAAAGCTTTCTGTCTCACCCCCCTTTTTTTCTGTAGAATAAGAAGCTCTTTTCTCAGCATCTAACGGCAGCTTTAACCCAAACAGAGAGCCAGCTGAATTTGTGCAGCAGCTTGCTCTCTGTTATTATCATTCCTGTGACACAGCATATAATCCCCATCAACTCTGCTGTGGCCTAAAAAAAAAAAAACCCCTTCCTCTGCTCATCCTTTGTGTTGTTAGAGATCCCGGTCACCAAACTACACCGAGAGAAAAAGATCACCTAGCAACACTTTTTTTAGGGTGTGGCCTTGGATGGGAGCATCCAAAGGACAATATTCTTGATTCAAGGTTTGCTGATAGCAGTGGATTCAGCACATCCTAAGATATCAATATTTCCATCGTGCCTTTTGTTTCTGTCGGTATCATCAGTGCTCCACAGAATGGCCTCACCCTCACCTATTGCGTATCATCTGCCTTGTCAGGTTATTTCCCAGCTGGAAGTGCATCTGCTGTAACACACACACACAAAAAAAACCAGAGGAGTTATTTTAATGTAGTGTTTGTGTAGGAGACAGGCCAGAGCGAACACAATCCCTCTCTGTGTGCCCGAGAGATCCTATCTCTCTCCTGCCTCTTGTTTTTTAATTCTTCACTGAATCTTTGTCTGTGGCCTGCCTCTACATGTCTCCGTACGACCTTATTCCTGAGCAATATCCTGTTGTGGGGAGAGAGAGGGAGGTGGGGTCATTCGAAAAAGACATTCTTTCAGTTCGACAGTAATGTGCATGGCTGGAAGCGCCACTCTGACAGGTTTAACGGACAGGTGCAAAAACACCCCGAGATAAGAGCGCCGGTTAAATAAACCAAAAATCTTAATGGGGCGGTTTCTTTGAAGGTACAGCATGTCCTAAATCATCCACAGTTGCCCTCAGATTGTAGTGTCAGTTCCTCAGAATAGTGGTGCAAGTTCTTCTTTCTATAGCTGCCATTTTGCGCCAGCGCTCTGCAGTCAAACAGGGAGGAATCTGTCAGCGAGGAGGCAAAAAGCCTGCTTCCAAATGTCGCTGTAAGTGACCGAACGCAGGAAAGAACTGAGGCTGAGGTGGGCTGAGGAAAGGATAACTCATTGTACGATGATGTCATGGTAAAGGGGGGGCAAAAGGTTTAATATTGTTAATTGTTAACATTTGTTACAGTGACGGATTATTAATGCGAATAGTCGTTTTCTCTGCAGGGCTTCTAAACAGCAGCTGTATCGCTGTTGTGAATTGTAGGGTGGAAGGTGCTGATTTAACAGAAGCATCAGAGTTCATGGTGGGGCGCTTGGCTCAGAGCCAGAGGCCATAACTGGAATTCCACTGAATGCAAGTGGGGACCGGAGAGTGGAGCAGCATCTCCTGTCTCTCACTCTGGCGTCTGCACGTCCGAAGAGTTTTCACACCTTCTGCACTTTGGTGTTTTAGCGTCTTGTGGTTAGGTTTAAGGGCTTTGTATACAAGTCTTTATGAAAAAACCGACATCTTTAGCAATCACTGGCTAATAACCAGCACAGTGGTTCAAAGCCGCAGACATTGCTCTATAGCTAATCCATGCTGCTTATCTACAAACAAGCACCTGTCTCTGTCTCACACCTTCATTGTCTGCTTAAGCTACCAAAAACATCGGCTTGCGGCTTGGATCGGTCACTTAGTCGCACATTAAGCAGCTTAATAACTTAGTTAATGCCAGGATTTGTCGTTTTAGCTGCTAAATGGTGGGTTCCTTATTCTGCATTTCCACTGCTAACATGATCTCTAATTAGAACCATAAGTTTATGTTTGTGTTTGTTGTTCCCCGGCTGCCAGCCTGTACATGTGAACACAGAATAGGAGAAATTTAAGACCTCTATTCATTCTTCTAAGCTTTGTCTTGAAAAACGCCTGCCTATTTAGCCACCAACAACTCAATTAATGATACATTACCGCAACCTGCCCCGTTATAAAACCACTGGTAAGAAAACAGTCAGAGGTGTAACTTTTATCAACAACTTTTTTTTTTTTCCAGAGGAAAACAGGGTGATGACTAAATAAAATTCATGCATTTGCCCCTGGGAAGCAGTAGTACTTTCTTATTTTTACCGTTTACCTTTGGGAAACAGTACAGTTAGCTCTCCTGCTCCCCGTTTCTCTTGGAAAAAAGGAAGAAAAAACCCTGTAAAAATATGTTAATTCTTGAGTGTGTCAGGGTTTCGTAATTTTTGCAATTCTCGGTACAGCGGATGACACTTTTGTCCCATTCAGGTCTCAGTTTATCAGATTATCCGTTTGGATAAGGTTTACTTCAGGGTTTATTTCCCTGTTCGCAATGCCTCTCATATCACTGCAGCTTTTATTGCATTTTTTCTGTTTTACTAGACTGTTGAGTTAGAGCCCCATCGAGTTATTGGCAGGTTGATATTATGGGATAATATTGGCTATTTCTTGATTTATCAGTATTTATAATAACCAAATCAAGAAGAGACAGCAGACGGACCTTAACCATGTTATGAGTGTTAACATGGCACCGCACGACTACACCCTTGTGGAACAGAGTGGATGATGGCTAACCGAAAATGTGTGGGTGTGGGCTCATCATTACGAGTGACATCCTTTACGCTGCACATAGAACCTTTTTTTTCCGATTCTATGAAAAATATTGATTCGTTTCAACATTTCTGTGATTAAAATTTCAAAGCAGCAACATATTTTCTTCATCTACAGTAAAACTCAATCTGTTGGCTTTCAAGAAGCTCATTCAAAGTGTCACCCGCGGACTGATATACCAAAGAGTCACCACGCACCATCAAACTGCAGAGGCTTTAGCTGAGTCGGTGAGGAAAGTGTCAAGCTAATCATTTGCTGTGCTAAAACTCACAGTTCCCGTTTTCAGGAAGAAGCCACAGTTGGATCTTTGATCAACATGTTTTTTTTTCCACAAGTGGACAAACCTCTGATACATGTCCTCTACCAGCATGTTTTTCATTCAGGGCCCCCGGTGCCCACACTGCAGCACACTCAAAACATCCTCTGTGTGTGTGCGCGTGGGTGGGTAGCTGGGTGGCTGGGTGTATCGCGTTTACATGCATGTAGTGAAATGCACTCCTGTTAGCACTGCATTTACACATCACCGTTCCTCTTTGTGGCTGCAGGGCATATGAGGGCCATTTAGACTTTTTAGTCTGCTTTCCTGATGGTGCAGATAATTTTTAGAGGAGGGAATGAGAGCGCGCGATAAAGTCCAAACATGCACCTGTGTTTTTGTTTTGTTTTTTTTTAAAAAAAAAAGAAAAGAAAAGCTTGCCAGTCAAATATTTTGTTAGCTAAATGCATGCTCGTCACTTCACTATTGGGAATGTGGGAAGAATTTATACTAATTTTGTGGAGCTATTTAATTTCTTGTTGACTTCAGCTCATGAGACTATAGTCACAGACGCCTTCTTGGCTGTAGCGAGTGCCAGACTATCCTAATTTGTGTCAAGGACAGCAGCAGAATGGAGCAGTAGGTGGAACGAGCAAGCTACTTCCAGCAAACCTGTCAGTCAGAGCAAACAGAGCTTGAAACCTATCCCTTGATAAAGCATAATAGCCTCCTAATGGAGCAATTTTAGGACTCGCTGCCAAGGCAAGCTGTAGAAGGGAAAATGTGGTCTTGAGAAAAAAGTAACATCTTGCCATGTGACACTTTAATACATCAGGGCTTTTGCTTATCAAATTAGATTAATGTTAGAGGTGAAGACAGGAACGTGCCTGCACACATTCAGTGCAATCTGTGTGCAAGGCTTCAGTAACATTGTTTATGACTCAAGAAACTGAGACAGCTCACGTATGCACATTTCTCACTGTCCAATAACAAACCTGAGGCAGAGGAAACTGTTAATCAGTGTTATATTTCTACGGACTAATTTCAATGGGGAAATCCCTTCTTGACGTCGGTCTGAACAACTTTTGCAGCGTAATGTAAAAATGTTAAATGCATTTTTCAGAATCTAGTTTTGACAGACTATAAGCGGCCTCTTAGCTAGTGGATCTTCAGATAATTATGCTTAAATGCGATTGACATCTTCTGACTACAAATCCACCATATGACACATTAGTAGTGCAAAGTTTTATTTAATGTTATTTAACAGCGATGTAAAAGCAAAAGAGATGCAGGAGTGCATATACACACC